CCTTCCCTTCCCTTCCCTTCCCTTCCCTTCCCTTCCCTTTCCATTTTCATTTTCATTTTCATTTTCATTTTCATTTTCATTTTCTTTCTCATTTTCTTTCTCATTTTCTTTCTCATTTCCTTTCATTTCCCCCTCTTCTTTCTTTCTCTTTATCTCTTTGTTTCTTTCTCTCTTTCTTTCTCTTTGTTTCTTTCCCTCTTTCTCATTGCATCTTTTACTGTTAAATAACATGTATCAAATTTTGATATCAACATCTAACCTTGTTTGGTTTTAATCTCATTTCAGGGAATAATCAAACCTCAGAGTTCCTTCTTTTCTATTCACAGAGAGTTCTCTTTGCTCCTTTGGGATTAGAGCAGATTGTAACACCTGGTAGAAGGATGGGGTTCAAACCCACAGAGCTGTAAGTCCTCGGAATCAGTATCAGAAAGAGGAAGGGGTCTACTGCATCTCAGGAATATGCTGACAGCAACTGGAACAGTAATCCTCCTGGATGACCCTTTGAAACCACTGCTTCTTCCCCCTTTATGTCCAGACTGCTTTATGTGCAAAGTTCGAGGACCAAAATAGGTGCACTGCCCCACTTCTCATATCCTTTTCACAGTCATGCAGATAGAACTGTAGGGTGGGATTTGTCATGGGCCCATGGTTCCCCTTCCCTTAAGCAGAGGAATTCCTGGTCATGGTAGCCAATGTGCTGGCCTGCCCAAGCAAGAAGTTAAAGAGTATATCCACATTATCTTTTGAGTTGCTAGACCTTGTGTAACAATCTTTCCACAGGTGAGACACAGGTCCATATCAAGGAGAGAGAATAGAGCTTTTCAGTAAACCTCTAGGGCTGGCAGTTTGTTCTGTACAAAGTTGGTGCCACATAGTCAGCCTAATTCAGACTTACCAGGCTTACTTAAGTTGCTGGCATATGATGTCTGTGTGTTCTGCACAGACTTCAGCCACTCAGATCATGTGCACTTTACATACTTTGGAACTTTCAAAGCCTGATTATTGTCCATGTCACTAAAGATCACCTCCATCACCTTTAATTCCCTCAAACATTAAATACATTCCTCCGTGGCAGTCCACACAACCTCACTGGATGACAATATCTTCCTTAAGAGAATATTCTGTCTTCATACTCAGTAGGAGTCACCTCTGGAACCTGGAGGTGGCTGACCCTCTTCCAATCCCTCTGGTAGTCCCACAATCCCTAGCAAAGAATCCCAGGTGTTGTGTTCCCCTACCTTGTAGTTCCAGACTGTTAGCCCTACGATTCCAGCTCCAGAGCAACAGGGAGCAATTAGCTCATCCTGTCAGGCAAAATCTTTACACTTTATCTTGCAGCTAGGTCATGGATAGGGACCAAGTAGCTTCTGCCTCTCATGATTTCTGTCTTTTTCCTCTCCTACCCTGCTGTGGAACAGGCTGCCTGTTCTCATTCTTCCTCTCTCCTCCTCTGAGCAGGAGCTGCTTCTTCTCTTATTAACTCAATCCACTGTTTCTTTACTACAAGATCAGTTATTACAGTTGAGGGTTTAGTCTCTGGTTTAGTGTCTCTGTGGCCTCAGACCAAGACCACCTTCTCAGTCTCAGACCACCACAAGCCTGTGGGCTTTTAGACCAGACCCTCTTGCATTTCTAAGGGCACTGGACAATGACTTTATAGGCATGGGGCAGATCCAACACAGCTGTAGAAGTCACTGTGTTTCACCTTAGCTCCTTCAAATAATGTATTCGTTTGATGGGTTAATGAGCCTGCTCAGATATGAAATCACAAGCTGTCAGGGGCAGCAATGGCCCTGTGCTCCTGCCCAGCTCCTCCCACACATACTGATACCCCAGGGATCAACCACACTAGAGCATCTTCCTGTGTGGCAAACTCCAAATAGCCGTTTAACCTTACGAACAATAATTAAAGTTGGGGTCACAACACATCATTATGAACAGTCTGATTACATAAGGATACTGAAGGAACTCAGAAGCCACTACATCAAGGCTATAAAAAACTCTCCTGGAGGAGAGGAAGGTATACATGCCACTTTTTCCCCTCTCTCAGCAAAATGTCTCTCAGAGAAGAAGTGGGGAAAACTATAGTTGCTGATTTTATCCATGAGGTGGTTCTTGGAATACGGGGACATCAACAATGTAAGACCCAAGTACCAGATTAGGCTGATGGCCCATGGTTTTGTCATAGCTCTCCCAAGCAAAGGAAAATAAAGTAATAAAAAGCAAACAAAACAGCAAAATCTGAAAATAGTCATTAATGATTCTTGGGGCTGTTGTACAGCTAGAAAGCAATCAAGCATCTAAATATTCAAGGAATATACAAATCAGCACCCAAAGCAAATATGCAGCTTCATGACCTGCAACAGTCATTAAACATCTTAACTAAAGAGGTATTAACAAGTTAACTCTAGCACACTATAATCACACCTGTTATTATCTTGAAAGCCTTGAGCCACGGGTTGGGGATCCAAAATAAACTGTTTTGGGTTACCCCAGTAGATAGCCAAGTACACAGAGCTATCTTTTCACTTCCCCCTACCCCCATCTCCTAGGAGGACAGAGGAAGAGCAAAGGGAAAGTGAAAGCAAGAAACTTTGTGAGTCAAGATAGAAACTGATCATAAGCAATGATGAAGTGCAAGAGAGAAAGAAAATAAAACAAAAGAGATGATGCAAAAGCTATCACCCACAACTTCCCAAGGCTGACTAATGTTCAGCCAGTTCTGGGCAAAATACAGCTAAGTCTCCCTAAACCTCCTCCTCTCCCTTTTTATTGCTGAGCATCATGTTATGCGGTATGAGATCTCTGATTAGTTCAGGTCATCTGCTTTGTTCCACGTTTGTGTCTCCAGCTATTCATGCATCCTCCAATCTATACTGGGGGATGCAGCCAGAAAAACAAAAGGCCCATCACTGTACAAAACACCACTCAGCAAGAGCAAGAACATTACTGTCTTATTACCATTGTATTGGTCACAAATCTAAAACAGCACCCTCAGAGATGCTATACAGAAAACTAACTCCATCTCAGCCAGACCCAGCATACTGGCAAAGCTAAAACCAAAAATCTACCAGATAAAACAGCTCAGCCTCAAGAATCATCTTGAAACTGACTAGAGAAAATACAACATTACTTATCTCTGCTGTCACTGATTGTGTATTCAAAAATCCATTACAATACACCTATGTCCCAGAGATTAGCCAAATGAAATTCTACAATGCTCTAAATTAAATTTAATTGTCAAATTAAGTACAGGTGATAATTTTATCCATCTTTCAAAATGGAGTTCAAATTTTGGCAGATTGCCTTTTTACTTAGTCATTTAAAGAAACAGCTTATAATTAAATACCTGGCATTTCTCTAGGTCCCTCTTCTGCTGAAGAACTGTAATGTGATGTGGTACAGGGCTGGTCTCAGTCCCTGTGTCAGTCTCCTGGACGGTGAGAGCTTCCTTCCTTACTTTCTGCACCATACTGATCCAGCTCTGCAATCTGTCCCGCTGACTTCTTCTTAAGCTAACATCATCATTCAAATCAACCAGTAAAAGTAAGGCTTCATCTACACAATTTCTGTAACTGAAATATTGAACCTGAAGGCGAGTGAGCTTCTCCTCAAGTGAACTGATACGGCCTTTTTCTTCATTTAAGTCATGTAAATGCTGATTACTGACCTGCTGGCTCTGCAAAGCTTCCTGAAGCAATCTGATTTCAGGTTCCATTTCATCAATTCGGTCTTTTTCTGGGTTGTAATTTACTACTGGTTTATTTCGAATGTTTTTTGCTCTGTTGGCATATTTGAGGGAATTTAAAGATTCATCAAAGTCCAGTGATGATGGACTTATACATGTTATCATAACAATCTTGGCATTTCTTCCAAGGGAGTCTTTCAGAATACGAGTAATTTTAGCATCCCTATATGGAATATGTGCACTTTTCCTTTTTGGGTCTCCAAGGGCACTGATGACATTTCCCAAGGCAAAGAGACCACTATTGATCTTAACTGATTCTTTGAAGCGTTCACCAGTATTTCCAGTCTTTGCTAACCTCTCTGATCCAGCCAGATCTACAAAATGAAACTTTGAAGAGATCGAATCCTGTGCAGCATTCTGATACTCTGCAGACTGCTTCTGATGAATACTGATGGTAAAAATGGCATGAGATCGACTAGAGTGCTCATTCATCTGTGTTGTGCCTGTGTGACGAGCTGCATTACCACTTTCCAGCAGGCTTATCACTTCATCTGCACATTCCACTTGGAATTCCTTAGAACCGACAATCACTTCAAACACCAAACCAGATGAAAGTAAGAATAATTTAATTAAATCTAAACTCTTCAGCAAAGGTTTACAGCAATAACTATAATCACGTACTAGACAAACATACAAGCCTGCTACAGCTATGACCTACCTATGAGGTCATAGCATATAACTATAAAAATAGCAGATAGAATATGTGAAAAGCATGAGGTATACAACACATCTGAAATCTGCAGATATTTAATGTATGGGTCTATTGTGCCATAACATATGAAACAGTATCTTAGACATAAGACACAACTAATTTACACATTGCATACTGCACATTACCTTTACAATTTACAATGTAGTGCTACCTAGAAAAAGTATGAGCAAAGTCAGCTCATAGGATATTCTGCCAGTTAATAAAAAGACTAAAGCCTTAACTAAGAAAAGATTTTCTATTCTGAATTGCACAGATAGTTGGGCCTTTGGGACAGGTATCTCTTAGTAATCTAATAAAGTGTAAATGTAAATGTACTTCTACTAAGTACTATTACTAATTATCTTTTTTATCTTTTTTTTTCTTTTAATGAAAAATGGAAAATGTCTTAGCACAAGAAACTGATGCTAACTGTACTGAAAAAAAAAAGAAATAATTTAAAATATATTGTGGGATCCTTTTGGATCCTTGGGAGAACCTTGGGGTTCTGCAAGATTTGTGTTAAACTGGTGCATTCTCCCAGCTACCGACAAAAAACCCATGGCAGCTTAATATAACAGTATAGTAACACTAGACAATGAGAATATAAATAAAAAAATATCCAAACCTAAAACAGATTAGGTACTTGCAGAATAAAATACTTCTGATATGGATTCTTCTAGCATTTTCATGGGGTGAACAGGATACCTACAGGGCAAGTGTTAATCTCAAAGCCTCCAAAAATATCTACTTCCCCTCCTCTTAATGAAGTAGTCTCTTCCACTCATTTCACTGTAAAAGGGGAGCAGATATTTACAATATAATTGACTTAACAATTGTAATTTTGAAGGAAGAAGCAATGGTTTAATATTAAAATATTCAAGGGAATAATCACACACTATTTTGTTTCTAGACAGAACTTGCAGAAGCAAGAATTGTGTATTTACCATTTGTTGCCACTTCCATATAACAGAACATCTATATTGCTCAGAGGCATCTAAACCCCTAACTGCTTCCAAACAGCTAAACTGAGTTTATATTCTGAAACATTAATTTTTTATTTCCTTTTATTAATTAGTAGAGAATAAGCATTTTCAAGAGAAAGCAAGAATAATTTGGACCCAAACTAAAACCCAACACACCAAATTTGAGAGTTGGAATCCTACCTGTATTTCCCTTCTCATCTTCTCGGATATGTAGATCTTTCATAGAGGTCTCCAAATCCAACAAATCTCGAAGTTCTTCCTTGTAAATCTCTATATAGGATACCTTCACATGGAAGTTAATATTACGGTGTTCAGAAATATGATGAAATAATTCCTGAATAGCCCGTGGGATTATGCCCCTTTCATCCGCTGCAACTGATGCTAAAATATAAACACAAATGTCACAGAGAACTGCAGTTATTCTGTCAGTCACATCAATTACAAAGACTGAAATTTGAAAGAAGCCTGCAATATTTAGTATGCAACACACTAAGGAATCTGAAGAGCTCATTTTTCACAAGGATTTTTGTAATTTTTTGTGTGTGTGCATTAGAAGTTTTGTTTGCATCCAGTACTAGGGTTCAAATTTAAGTTCTAAATTACATAATTTTATAGTGATGAAAGTTATGAAAAATATGGATTCTGCTTTAAAGCTATACTCCTCAGAGTATAGATTCTTCTTTTTCCCTACTCAATATGGTTAGCAATGACATTGCAAGGGTTTGAGAAACTATAAATTCTACTTATATAAAGCAAAATCATCAGTAACATAATCAGACAATATTTATGGCCAACATTAAAAGTAATTTCTTATTTTTTCATAGACACGGAACACTAGTGCCAAACTCGACTTTTTTTTAAAGAGTATTCAGCATAGGACAATGTTTCCATTAATAATCTGTGGGTTTTATCCAACACCATGGAAGCTGTTTGCCTATGAGACAATACCAAGATCTCTTTTACCAAAAAACTAACGGGTTGCTCACATCTTTTAATTTAGTAAATATATTCATTAAACTAAAAGGGTGTAATTGCAGAGCTAAGATCAGTCTTAGACTGTGACATCCACTACCCAAATAATTTAGCTAGCAATGGTACTTATAGGAACCTTAAATAACTACTAGTGAAGGGAATAGAAGGGAAGTTACAATAATAAGCAGGCCAATGGAATGAGGTTCAACATAGCTAAGTGCGGGGTCCTGCCCTTGAGTCACAACAGTCCCCTAAGCACTACAGGTTGGGTTGGGCAAGAGTGGCTGGAAAGATGCTCAGCCAGAAAGGACCTGTGGGTGCTGGTTGACAGCAGCTGATCATGGGCCAGCGTGTGCCCAGGTGGCCAAGGAGGTCACTGGCATCCTGACCAGTACCAGCAGAAGTGTGGTCAGCAGCAGCAGGGCAGCGATTGTCCCCCTGTGCTGGGCACTGGTGAGGCCACACCACAAGTGCTCTGTTCAGTTCTGGGCCCGTCACTCTAAGAAGGACATTGAGGGGCTGGAGAGGATCCAAAGAAGAGCAACAGAACTGGAGCACAAGTCCTGTGAGGAGCAGCTGAGGGAGCTGGGGTTGTTTAAGCTGGAGAAAAGCAGACTCAGGATAGACCATATTGCTCTCTACTACCACCTGACTGAAGGGTGCAGCAGGGAAGGGGGGTCAGTCTCCTCTCCCAGGTAAAAAGTGACAGACAAGAAGAAATGACCTCAGGCTACACCTGGGGAGGTTTAGATTGGATATAAGGAAAAATTTCTTCACTGGTGGTCAATCAATGGAACGGGCCTAGTTGTGGACCTGGAAATGCAGGGTTAATGGTTTGACTTCAAGATCTCAGGGGTCTTTTCCAATGGTTTCTATACAGTTCTGTGATCCTATGATTTTAAATAAACAGAAGACTCTACCAAGATATTTACAATACTCTAGTTATATCCATTTCGAAGAAGTAAATCATACATTTCTGATGTCACAGAAATTTCTCTCAAAAGCCCCAAAAAACCAAATCCAACACAGAACAAGCAAGTAAACAATTAAGTGTCTAATGAAGACTTTTTCAAGGTAAGATAAATGTAGCAAACAACTTCAAAATCACTACATTTCAGAAAAAAAAGTTCTAATATAAGTTGCATGTTAAAATGTGGAACATGAAAGAACACATAACAAATTGGGTTTTTCTTAGATTTTTTTTGTATAGTCTAATTTATGGAGAAGTTTTTAGAGCTTTAATTATCACATAAACTTCGGAAGTTTTGAGTTTTTCTATTACAGGTTTTTGCCTTGATCCTTAAAATTCTGCACCATTATCTGCTATGTAATAAACATTTAACTTGTAAAAATGCACCCTCGACTGATTAAAAAAACTCCAAAAACCAAAAACCTTTCTATAACTTACCACTGTCCTCACCACCAATGGTATAAGTCTTCCCAGAACCAGTCTGTCCATATGCAAACACTAAAGCATTGTATCCTTCAGTCAGAGACACTAGAAGAGGCTTAATACAAACAGCATAAACTTCTTCTTGGGTTGAGTTTTCGCCAAACACGAAATCAAAAGTGAAGACATGGTCCTTTCCAATGATAACTTGGTTAGCATTTTGGACTAATCTGACACACACTTGCTGGTTATGAAGTATTTCTTTGGAAAGCAGAGGTCTGACTCGGACTGCAACTTTAACTGGGATCTCCTCCATTGCAAACTCCACCCTTGTGCTTCCCACTCAGTATGGACATAGCCAAGAAGAAATCTGCTCAGTTGTCTGCAACTAAGAAAAAAAGGTTTCATATTATGTAATAGAAAATAATTAATCTCCTGAAGTGAAAAGTTGAGATTTCCTAAGGAACATGTAAGCACCATTACAATTTTGAAAAGCACTTGATATAAATGCAGCTCTATTAATAACTATATAATCAATTAATAAATTATTTATGCATCCATTAATTTCCAGGTTAGCAGACTTAAGTCTGAAAGTTGCCTGATTTCGTATTTGAATATAACACAGTCATACAAAGCAACAATATTGTAAAAGTTTCAATAAACACTGTTGATAAAGAAAAGGCTTACAATGGAGCCTCTCATTTTCCTGTTCGCTGCATTTATAGCATAGGCAACACAAATCAGTCAAACAGAACCTTTTTCTCCAGAATTTGAATATACATACATGTATATTCAACAATATACAATATACATACATGTCTCAATACTCTTTTCCACTTATCAAGCACCAAACATTTCTAAATGAACAAGCACAAAGAACTGCGGTTTTAAATGCATCTATTTACTGTACATAAAGCATTCCTCTGATTTTGATCGGAAACTTTAAGCACATATGTAATTATTTTTTAGTAATTATAATTTTAGCATACATGGTTCCTTATACTGCCTGGTGCATATTCATTGTTACAGCATAGGCATTGCACAGTAGCACACTTGTAAATATAAAAGAATTGCCTTTCTTTATAGGTTTCTTTTATTAGAATTCAAAAATCTGCATGGGGTCCCACACACACATTTTCTGTTGTTGCTAACTGAGGATTTTTGTCATGCAAGGTAAAGTTTGCTGAAATTTCTGCTCTCATGCACATTGTCTACAAGAAAGCTGTATTACTGAACTGGCAGAAATCAGCTAAACTCTCAAAATTCAAGTTTGTTGAAAACTAATAGCTTAAAACAGTGTTATCTCACAGCAGGGAAAGAGAAGAGCTTTTGCATTTCATTTTACCTCTTTTAATTTGAGGACTTGGCTGAAATTTGAAAAAAGAAAAGCCTCATTTTATTGACTGAGCACAAGAACAAATAAGCAAAGCATGAGAATGATTTGTATCGTGGCAATCAGAAACAGATACATAAACATACTAACTACAGATTAAAACCACATTTTGATCGATAACCGAGTTTAGTTACCTGGGTGCATTATTTTTTTGCCCCCTAGCAAGTGCTGTTCCTAAGTGCCAACATTCCCTCCCTACTCTCTTTTTAAAGTTATATTAATAAACAAAAAAACAAATTAACAAACCATGTCCTGGCTGTGGGAGGGAAACCCTACCTCCTAAGAATCTATTTTGTAAAAGAACGTGGGAATATGACACATTCCCACCACGTCAAGGCTAGAGAGATACCTGGCTGCCGTAAGGCAGAGGCAAACACACAGGCAACCTTTTCGCTCGCAGGGATCTCGTGACGGCGGCCCAGGAGACCTAACGCGTTTGCAACGTCTCCAAGCCTGAGGAGTAGCCGGGGTCGGCTCACGCCAGAGCGTCGGGAGCCGCCCTGCCGGGCCGAGCCGAGCCGAGCCGAGCCGGGCCGAGCCGAGCCGTGCCGAGCCAAGCCGAGCCGAGCCGGGCCGAGCCGAGCCGAGCCGAGCCGGGCCGAGCCGAGCCGAGCCGAGCCGAGCCGAGCCGGGCCGAGCCGAGCCGAGCCGTGCCGAGCTTTGCCGAGCCGGGCCGGGCCGGGCCGTGCCGGGCCGGGCCGTGCCGAGCGGAGCCGAGCGGAGCCGAGCCGTGCCGAGCCAAGCCGAGCCTTGCCGAGCCGGGCCGGGCCGTGCCGAGCCGAGCGGAGCCGAGCCAAGCCGAGCCGAGCCGTGCCGAGCCGGGCCGGGCCGTGCCGTGCCGAGCCGAGCCGAGCCGAGCCGAGCCGTGCCGAGCCGTGCCGTGCCGTGCCGAGCCGAGCCGGGCCGTGCCGTGCCGTGCCGAGCCGTGCCGAGCCGTGCCGTGCCCCTCTGCCGCAGCGGGGGCGGGAGCGGCGGCGCCGCGCGCGTCGCTGCCCTCGCCAGGCAACGGCCGCCGTGCCCGGCCGCGCGCACAGCGCCCCCGCGGGCGGCTGCCGCTCCTTCCGCCCGGGCCGGGCCTCGGCGCGGCGCTGCAGCGTGTCCCGGGAAGCGCCAGGGAGCCGGGGAAGGGCTGGAGCAGAAGTCCTGTCAGGAGCGGCTGAGGGAGCTGGGCGCGTTTAGCCTGGAGGACGCCAGGGGGACCTTACTGCTCTCTACAGCTGCCTGAAAGGAAGGAGTAGCAAGATGGCGTTCGGCCTCTCCTCACAGTACAAAAGGAAGTCGCTTCAAGCTGTGATGGGGAAGGTTCAGATTGGACATCAAGAAAAATTTCTTCATAAAAAGGGTGATTAAATGCTGGAACAGGCTGCCTAGTCCGGTGATGGAATCACAGTCCCTGGCAGTATTTAAGGATTAAAGACTGGAGGTGGTGCTCACTCAGTGCCGTGGTCTAGTAGACAAAGTCATATTCCATCACAGGTCAGACTTGATGGATCTCGCAGATCTTTTCCAACCTAAGTGATTCTGTGACTCCTCCCACCCCTTCCTACCTCCCTCCCTGCATAGACTGAGCCCCCCCATCTCACCCCTACCAGTAAAAACACAGAGCCCCACGGCACGTCTGTCACCTCACCATTTATTGAATGACTGGACGGATTACACGTCCAGGTCTGAGCAGAAAAGCATCTGCCAAGCACCTGCCACCTCTGTGCAGGTATGAGAGGGGACAGGCAGGAACAGGGAGAGGCCAAGGTGCAAGGTACACCACAGGATCTGCACACACATCTGGCTGTGCGCACAGGTAGCCACGTACACCGATACAAAGGTCAAAGAAGGAGTAATAAACCCCACCTTGACATGGGTTACCTGCAAAGTTTACACTGGTAATTTCAGTCAGGGCAAGCAAAAGATTAAAAGAAATTTAATAAAACAATGCATAGAGAAAAAAGGCACATTGTTACTACATCACTAGAAAACAAGAATTTAACAGATTAGTGCATGACAAATGACCATATAAAAAGCAAAACAGCAGTTCAAAAGATAAGTTAGAATACAAGAGCTATCAGAGTGGACTTTAGTAATATATACACCGTACTCGATGGAATGGGATGTCTTTCATCTCTGCCCTGTGATCCCTGGCATAATCCCAAAGATAATAATCGAGCAAAACTGCATTGATCTTCTCATGCATATCCTGACCCTTCTTCTGATAGACCTCCTGAAGGTGCTTACAAATCAATGCACAACACCAAATAGAACAGCCACGGATCTCTACCTCTTCTTTGTCTCCAGATTGGAAAAGTGTTCCTGCAGACACAAGAGACAAGCAATCCATTTACATGGAACAGACAGAAAGCCATGGACTAACGAAATTTGTCAATTTTTTCCCCCTTTCACATTTATTTCACTCTATGATTCCAGTTCTCATGACTTACCCTGCAATTTATTTCCCCCTTTCACATTTATTCCATTCTAGGAATTCCAGTTCTCGCGACTTACCCTGCAACTGTTAACAGTGTTGCTGTCTATTTTCTAATGGTTACTTTAATTTTACCATATTGCACTTAGAAGCTTCCCTCCCATTCAATTCAAGCAACATCCTGTATTCTAAGGAATTTAGGAGCAGGGTGTACTGCAAATCATATGATCATTTCTTTGCTTGCAGAGACAAAAAAGATAGTTTTTCATTATAGTATACTTTTTAGTATATAATTACTGTACTTCATAGTATATTTTCTACCAGGATGACTGAAGTCTAAGATTTTAAAATTAAAAACAAACAGCCCTCCAAAAGAACTTAATGCAAAGATAAAAAGGATTTATGGAAGGATAAAATGTCTATGAGGTCTATTTAGTTATATAGATATGCATAAAGACATAAATACACGTACGGCCATTCTTTTAAAGTTCATGGGCGATGGCATTAATCTGTTTATCTTCCTGAATATTTCTGAATTTTTATAACAGCAGTTCTACACCTAAATACAGTCATTTTACAGTGCAAAAGAGATTGGCTTATTTTTATTCACTAAAATTCGTGGTTACTAAGTATTGAAGATTAAACCATGCTTAAAAATGAGATCCTAGTCATATGCAATTAACTTAATTTAAAGAAATATTTTTTAATGGATGCTTATAATATTACTTTGCTTATTAACTAGCAGTTCAGTACAAATACAGAGGAATTCCCATGCTTTTATATCAAATTTGAATTAATGACAAAAATCATTGTTTCTTTTATGTAAACCTCCAAAATTGTAACTATTCTCATGGTTTTACAACAGCTTTTCAGAAACTCATTCAGAAATTCAAAATATCTTTGAGTCTTTTTAATCCCTCCCTTATTAATGTTTAATTCACAAAATACATCTTAACAAAAAGGTAACCTTGAGATCTCAGGATCATGGTTACAGAAAAAGTTCCTTCCTGTTACCTCACCAGTACCAAAGAAATCCCCAGACGAAAAAAAATGGAAAAACATTTTGTCCCTTACATGGACAACATATTATATTTTAGAACTAGCCTTAGTCTACAATATCAGGCAGTTAGATTATTTGATATTAGCAAGAACAGAACAAACCTTCGCGTAGTTTCTTCATTAATTTTTCAGAATACTTCATTGCTTTTAAGTGAACAAGAACTTGTGGAATTCTGTAGTCAGCAAATATCGTCAGACTGGAAATATCATCAAAAGAACCATCTCCTTTGCCTTCTAAAACACTCCATGTGTCAGCCACAAGTATTTGTGCCCGTTTGTAGAAAGACACCTTCTTTTTCTGAAAGAAGAAATTTATGGATTATTTTAGTGCCTGATCAATAAAAATAGCAAATAATACATTAAGCATATCATATTGTTAAGCAAACATTAGTTAATTACACAGAATAAACTGCAACACTCTTAAATATCTTCAAATCTAAACAATATCAAACTACAAACAGGGATTATGTAGAATACTCATAAATAAACTGAAACAAAAAATAACATATTAAAAGTTACTGCAGCAAATAAAAATTGTTTAGAATATGCCCAGATCCCAGAATACTTTCACAGATGTTTATGGCCACTTGGCAAACACTGTAGTTGAACATCCAGCAACATTAATTTTCAGAAACTCTACAGTACATCCAACCTTTTAATTTGACAAGAGAAGCATAATAAACATGTATTGTACTAGACAATTAAAAAAATTTGTTAATCCATTTATCTGTACTGTTAAAGAAATAGAATTCTGGTGAAAAGTTTAATGAATGCCCCTCTTCATTTACTGTCAAGATGCTGTAACTATTCCTGACAGCAAATATTTTTTGTCCTTGAATTATAGTCTCCAAAAACACAGTGAAGTTCAACTATATCTCAAAGAACAACTTCCAAAACATCCTCAAAACTCCTCCCTTCCCTGTGCCTTATTCTATACTTGACACAGATGCACAAACTTACTTCTAGAGAACATATGTAATTTTGTACCTTAAATAACAAAACACCACCTTAAACATCACACAAGAAGCGTAACAAGAAGTAAATAATTAACAGACCAAATTTTATCATAGCTCCTACTGTCCCAAAGCAAGGGTGTCATTCTTACATAGCATTAGGAATTTCCCAGTACTAAAGTACTGCTGTCTCTAGCACCACACCATTTCACAAGAGTAGAGAAAGTCAAAATTAGAATGGAACTTTTCAATTCATGCTGCAGCTTAATTAGGAAGAAAAATATCATCTGGGACTCATCACAGAGCAGATAATTTTACAATTTCATTGTTTCAATTGTTAACTTTTATATGGTACAGAACATATGAAGTTTATATAAAAATCTCAATATGAAAAAGACTACGAAACATTTCGAGTAAATTTTCCCACTGTTTATCAGAAAGCAGGAAAAGCACTAGGATACTACATGCCAAATTGGAAGAACTTAAGAACTTCTTTACTGTGCAAGTGACTGCAGTGGCACAGATTGTTTAGAGAGATTGTGGAGCCTCCCTCATGGAATACATTCAAGAACTGCCTGGACACAAGCCTGTGCCATGTGCTGTGGGATGACCATGCTTGAGCAGGAAGGTTGGACCCACTTATGGTATGGTTCCTTAAACCCTTCCCAGTCTCTGATTCTGTCTGTGAAAGGCAATAAAGATAGTACAGTTTATAAAGAAATTGAACTTTTTTCTACATGGCAATACAACTATATTTCTTTTATCTTTTTTTTTCTGCAACACCTTGCCTTTACAGGAAATAGTACCGTGTACAGGAACATTTCATTCTTCTTTGCAGTACAATGTGCTAATATTAAGGAATATATCTAATTATGACTGACATTAAAAGAAAAGAGCAGTATTGTGTTGGCAAAGAGCAAAATGTAATAGCACAGACATTAAAAAAAAAGCAAAGAATAGGATTATGAGAATTTTAAAACCTCAGTCCCAGGTGATGGATGGTAAGTAAAAGATGAATACATGCAATATCGGGGAAGATCAAAAAGAACTCTATTTAGTCTCTGTTAGAACAGAAAACCCCTGATATATGAGTACAATAAAACTTAAACTGCTGTTGGGAATCAAGTGCAGCACAGCATCTAAATATTAATTATCCTCCAAGGAGAAAAAAGTGTTTTGGAGATCTTGGTCTTGGTTTGCATTTTCTTTTTCAGAAAAACTAACACTGGCAATTTCTGTGATTACATGTGTAATCATTAAAAGTATTTTGTATATGTATTTGGAAAAACATACAGTCAAATAATTGTGCTAATTTTAGAAGCTTCCCTAGAAGGTCAGCTGTAGCAGTCTGTGATGGCATGGTTCTAATGTACAACTTAACTTATATATATTTCTCCTTTGGAGAGTTACTGAAAAGGACTGGTTTGCTATTAGATATTTCACCGTCTTTCCAGTTCCCTCCTAACCCTTTAGAAGTCTTACTTGTGAGAGCTTACCTGCTGCCATAAAAATAATATGATCCATGTCACCACCTTCAAAATATGTGTCTTGCTTAGTGAAAGCAGATAAAAAGCTTCCATATTCATGCAACAGTCTTTATTACTAAGTCAGTGCTTACAGGGATAAGTTTTAGAACAGTTTTTCATTCTGTAGTCTGCTGGTGCTTTTAAGGAGGCTTGCTTTATAAAGCACTCATCATCTCATGAAACATATAACGTCAATGAATACAGTCACTATAAAGATAAGAAAATATCACTTTACTTGGAAAACATTCCTTTTCTGATCACAAAAATCGTCAAAATGTTACTTTTTATGTTAAAAAACACAAATAAACTCAAATAAATGAAACCAGTAGCTTCAAAGATTAATTCAAAAGGACCTCTGATTTTTTATGCAAATATATTTTGCAGCAGGAGACAAAGGAAAAAATATGACACTTCCTACTGAAGGGTAATAAATGCAAAGCAAATAAATGCAAAAGCAAAAATATTGAACCAATGCAAAGGCTCAAAGCTTCAGTGACTGATAATCGAAGAAGCTGAAAAGACTCCACAGACTAGTAGTATAGGCTGAACTGTCACTAACGAAGTCTTCTAGATTAAGGATGAAACACCTGAGTACTACTTCACATGCAACTGAGCACATGAGCAGCTATGTAAGTCACAGGTGCTAAATGAAAGCCGTGACTGCATAGGTGAAAACTGGGAGACAAAAAATATCAGATGATACCTGCTTAATTCCCAGCAGTTCCTTTCAGTAAACGCTTCAGTATACTGCCAACATTTGTAAAAATGTAAATTACTTCTAGTCTGTAGTGATTTGGGTAATGCCTGTTGAATCAACAGCCGTTAGAGGGTGGAGTCCCAGTACCTGCGAGTTAACTCTACCACGGTTTCACTTCCCTCATTAGCTGCAGAGAGCCTTAAGGTAAAAGAAAAAGAAGATGATGGGAAGAGGGTTGTCAGCAATTCAAGGGAAGTGGAAAAAAAAGGAAAAAGAATTCCCATTTTTCAGGCAGGAATCCTCTCAAATACTATGCATTTTTAAGGAGTACAAAGGAGGCGTGATCTAACTGGGAACTCAAGAGTGTACCAAAATAAATTACAGTAAATTGATAAAGAGACAGCATATGAGAAAAAAGGTACTCCTCTGGTGGGAAAAAGAAAGTGACTCTTGTCCTGACTAGTTGTGGACTATAAAATCTCTTTCACTGTTACTAAATAGTTGCACTTTTTTCCAGAGCTTTAGAATTAACCTACCTCAAATACAGCTTCATCTCTGTAAGAAGGAAAATTTTCCAGTATGAGATGTAGCAGTTTCTGAGCACTTTTCTCACTCATTTTAACACAGGTGAGGAAAGACCCTCCAAACTTCTCTAACAGAACGATTCCACTTTCGTTCAGCACCCGGTGTCTTTCTTCAATCAAAGGCAAAGGAACTTCTGTGTCAGAGCGAAATACGTGCCTAACTTGGTCAAGCGTCATGGTGGCAAAATAGGATGCACTGGTGATAGGTATTCCTTCAGAAAAGTGAAAATAAGATATTTAGGCTATCACATAACATAACACAAAGACCTAGTGCAGTGGTCTGCTAAAGGAAAGCACTTCTATAGCAAGATCTAAGAAGTCCATCAACTCTTAAACCCACCTTTGCTTTCAGCAACAACTGCATCCACACAGATGCTCACAACTAAATTTGTGAATGCACACAATGTTTTCTTCTACAGCACATTTCCAACATACAACCATAGAACTATTGTTACTTTTTGTATTTTCTCCAACTGCTTGGTTTTCATATTTTAAGTGTGACGTTTACATAGCACAGTGGCAAATATAGTCAGTATGCAACTAGTTTAGTCAGCATAGGCCTGTTTTCCCATGGAAACTAATCATGCTGTGCATTCACAAAAAATGTCTTAATGCTAATACCCCCTTAATTTACTAAATAACTATACAGAAAATTAATTAAAACTTTCATCTATGCCTACTAACAGTTTGGGGTTTTTTCTGAAAACAGCAAGAAGCGTGAGTGCTAAAGTAGTGGGTTTAAATATGAGACTTTAAAATACTGATTTTAAAATATTGGTTTGAGGGCCATAATGGGTTTCAGACTTACTTTAGACACTCTGATATTTGATTAGTCCAGAGGTTTCTCGCTTTATGCCTCATTTTTTCGTTTGCCATGGAAATATGCAACTCAAGAATACATGTGAAATAACCCAAGTCATGTACAGCTGACTACTGGCAATCCTTAAAGTCTTTTAAATGGAAGAGAGAACCCAGTTAGAGCCAAGAGTTAGGCAGTTTCAGTACAAAGGTATTTTGAAAGCACTTCCAGTTCCCTTCCCCAAGCTCTGTGGGACGCCTGCACATACAGAGCTACCGACACAACGAGCAGCACTTTCCAAGAGCGTGTCCCAGTTCCGGGGCGCCGCCTCCATTTAATACACGACGCTCGGCTCCCGATGCCCCCCGCCCGCAGCCGCGGCCCGGCCCCGCTGCCCCGGCGCCCACTGACCGTCGTCCAGGGCCCTGTTGACGGCGGCACACAGCGACCAGTAGCCGCTGTAGGTTTTGTCCTTGTACTTCACAAGGTACTTGCACTCCTCCTGCTCGGACCAGAAGGAGAAATTGAGGGTGTCCACCAGGAACACCCAGTCTACAGCCTCCTTGTCGGCGGCCCGGGGGTTCAGCTCGTGTAGGCTTTTCCACCCCGCCAGCCCGAACTCTGCCGCCGAGACTTTGTCGAACAGGCTCTCCGCCACCCGCCGCGCTCCCTCCTCGTCCACGGAGACATCTTTGCTGTGCTCGGCTATGAACTTGGCGGACTCCAGGGGGGACGGGAACACCTCCATCCTCGGCAGGAAGCACGCACGCCGCCCAAGCCAGCCTCCGCGCCGCGCCTGCCGCGGGGCGCGCACGGGAAGCGGCTCCGGCCGCTCGGCGCGGCGCTCCGCCCCGCGGTGCTGCCGCTGCGCGCAGGCGCGGGCGGAGGCGGGCCCGGGCGGCGCTCGGGGCCGAGCGCAGCCGGGCCCGGGGAGCGCTTGGAGCGGCACGTTCGTGCCGAGCCGCCCCCTCCAATCCTGCCAGGCTACAGCAGTGGGCAGACTCGGCTTCACGGCAGTGAAATTTTCCACAAGATTCCCATCATTGAAAAAGAGAGGGATATAAAAAGAAAAAAACACAAAAACACAACTTGAGAGACGAACGAACAATATGCATGTTAAGTTACGGAGCTCTTTTCCGCAATCAAAACAGAAAAGAACCGCATGAAAGACAATCCAAAACTCCTTTTGTATACATACGTAAGTTCGAAGCACAGAGAAATTCAGCCTGTTTTAGTTCACTTGCATTTTGCCCAAACCTAGGCTTTGATTGCAGCCTTCTCTAGAATTGAGGTACCAATCTGTGTACCAAGCCAGTTGACATCTTTCTACAGAATTCATTAGCCTCTGCCAAGGGAGCCAGCCTTATGCATAACGTTTCAGGCTCCTAGCCTTTACCATGCTATTTTAAAGAGCAGCTGCATAAAAAGGCCAAGTTCATGCACCACAAATCATGGGGAGGAGGGGACACAACCAACCAACCAACCAAGAACAAGAATCTTCAATTAGTCTGGACGCATCATGTCTCTATGTGCCACACACCTTTACACTTTTTAATCTGTTTTTATTCAGGAAGTGAAATTAAAACTTTAAACTATAAATAAAAATGCCAAGGTATTACATGAGATATCCAGAGGTGCTATATTTGTTTTAATTTCTCACAAATAATTATTACGGAACTCAACATACATCAGGGAAACAAGTTTTGCATACAATGAAAAACAAGTTACACAGTTATATTGTCATCCTGCCAATTTGCAATTCCTACCTCATATAAAAAAAAAAAAGCTCAGGAAACAAGTATAATTTATTCAGTAATGATAGAGCAACTCTGCATTAACCAAGCTGTCTAAAACCAGGTGTACTTTACCAGTTTACTCAGTGACATCACAAAGTTTTAAAGTATTTTATTTATAAACTGTCACCAATATATATATGTATTGCAAGGAGGGCCGAACACTTGCAAAAATGTCAAGTTTTACACATTTGCATTAGTATTTTCACTTTCCCCCCATCCCAAACAGCAAAGCAGTCATTGTTTTCACTTGATCTCTTTAATTTGTCAAAAAAAAACCCCACATAACTCCATCTATATATCAAGGAAACTGAAGAGCAAGCTTATCAGCAACTTTTAATTTATAAGGGAAAAATAAAAACAAACCAGATGTATCCATTTTAGTTATGACTTTATGTAGACCTGAAGAAAAATGACCACCAAGAATAGGTTCACTAAATTTATTTAAAAATCCTAAAATGTTTCTTACAAAAATGCAATACATTCTGCACACTGCTCTCAGCAAATGCCAGGGACATGTGGCCTACCATATTCTCCCCATCAAAGTAAGATACAGTGTACATAAAGCAGGGTGTTCACAACAATTACAGAAAAACAGTACAATTTACCACCAACAATGAACAAAAATAGAATTCACTCTCTCTGCCACTTCAAAATTTCAATGTTAGTCTCGTGCGCCCTCCCCCACCCCATGTATTTGAAAGGAACTAAACATTACATCTGGTGTACAGCAAAGATTCCACTACACCTCAAATGCAGAACACCTATGAAGCAGAGGAATGTTGGCTTTTTAAACAGAAGCAGATAAAAAAAAAAAGGGTGCAGGACTCCTTCAGTTCTTCACTAGTCTTAGAAAAACTTTCCAGAATACTGCTTCACACTATAAAAAAGAAAAAATAATCTTGCATTAGAATCCTTCAACATCTGCATACTGCTTCACACTATAAAAGAAAAAGAAAAAAGCATGTATTAGAATGATGGACCATACATCTTGCATCAACATTCATAAAGCATATTAATTTACAAATTACTAACACATTTAAAAATACATATTTTAAAAATGTCAATTGCTAACAATTATATTAGTGTATTTCAGGCACAGTTAAATATTAGTAATCTACAGCCAAACATTCCAGTTGGGACATTAAAACTGCTATAGCAGCCAAAATGTTAATACAGCAATTGCTATCTGTAGCTGTTAATATTTGGCAGAAAAAAGCAAAGTACTGTCAGTAAGGTGTGAAATGCTGCATAACAGCCCCAAATCGATTTCAACTTGTCCTGTAGAGGCATGGTCTGTGCCATATGGCAGACTGTGATTTGTTGTCAATTTAGTTATCTAAAAACAACAAAATCACTAGTCTTCCACACAGAACTAGGCCAACATCCACTGAAATCTTCTATATTTTCTACAGGCTCTATGTAATTTATTACAAGTAGTTTTTTTGCAGCAGTTTTCACCAGAGAAAGGAGAGGACTGCTTGGTTAAGATGTCTTCCAGCAAGATTAGTTTTGAGGGTATCTTCATTTTAATTAGAATGGAGAGCAGAAGAGAATCAAGGCAGAACTACCACTAGAGAAGTTAGGTTCAAATAGTTACTTAAAACCTGCCTTCCTCAAAAACTGATTCACAGAGGAGAGCAGTTTTATAATATACAAGTTAATTTGACAGTAGGGACAACATTAACTTGCCTGTTCTGCAGCAAATACTGTGCATTTTGTATCTGGTCCTGTGTTCCCGTAATAGTTATTATCCGATCTTCTGAGCCTTCTAGTGGTTCATCAATTTTGATCGAAGCTCCTGACTCATGACGTATTTGTTTGATTCTCTGGCCTCCCTTTCCAATAATAGATCCTGCCAACTAGGGAAGAAAGCAACAATATTTATTTCCTGATACGACTGTCCTTCCAAAAGGTTAGAAAATTAGAACAGCATTTGAGTAGTTTCCACAAATTCAGTTTTAAGTGTTGCAATGGGAGCTTATTTATTTATAGCCTAAAAATATCCCCTGCAGTATTAATTGTCTGAACATAGGTGAGATGAAACTGGGAGAACCAGCTCTCACTTGCAAAACATGGGTTACAATGACCGTATCTATTACTGAGTATTAACCACAAGTAGAATTCTTTAATGTGTCTCTAAAGACAAAAACCAAGCAGTCATTGTTGGTGATTAAGAAACACTTGTTTTGTATTAGAAGTACTTTATCAAGTATTTTAAGTATTTCTGATTTACTTAAACAGTCTGAGAAATGTAGAGTTGTGTTTTCACCGTATATCCCCTCATAATGCTTTGTCCCTCCATATCCCCTCTTTGTACCTGTTTGGTTCATCCCAGCTTTCCCATCAGTATGTCCATCAAACCCCAACCCATCCCCCTGTCTCCTCCCAGGTGATGTGTCCGTCACCTGGTGACCCTTCCCCTTTGTCCAGATCCTTCTGGCAGGGTCACCAGGTAACTGG